TTTCATAGAAGATCGCAAAGAAAAATAACCTCAAGAATGTTCCCAATTGAAGGAAATCCGTTTCTGGTAGAATTTGGGGGTAAGTGCTGAATTCCTATCTACAATCCCTTTTCCTTCAAATTGAGAATTTCTTTAGATTAAGAGGATCGAATTGAGTAACTTTGATGTAGGAATCGAGAGTTAAAACGTTGTAGAATGAGCTACCCAAGAAAAGGAAAATTCACATTTTTAGATGAGTTGCAGGCATAGGACTATTTTTCAAGATTAAGGTCTCATGCAAAAAGTCGTTCCAACAAACAAATTCTTTTAGCTTGAGGAAACGATAAAGAAGAGGTTCCATGAAACAATTGGGTCTTGAAAACTCCTTGAACCGGCTACCCAATAAAGAATAACGAGAAAACAGATTTCGGACAAACTTTGGAGGCGAATCTTAGACTACGATCCACGAGAAGGTATGAAATCAATCCCTGGCTCTTCCTTGTAACACCCACTTTAGTTTCATGAAGAAATCGAGGGAAGAAACATTGTAAATGGAGTTATAGAGGGAGATTTTTAGACCGTGGCGCAATACAGAGTGCGTGTCTTCTTCTTGTCCAGAAGAAGAAGATGATGACATGGCCTTTTCGTATCGACCATGTCAAACAACAATCCAACATTCCGTTGGTTTTTCTCAATTTTAACCTCCTTCCAGATGGATTGTTAAGAAAAAATTTATGGTTCCAGAAATTGTACACAATAAGGGAAATGTGAAAGAAAATTTGAGGTCATTCGAATACCGGAAGCTCGAAAACAAAGGTCCCAAACATAAACGATAAGGGAAGTAGCCATCTTGAACTTTTCTTAAGAAATAATTGTAGCAATAACTTGGATTTTTGTATGAATCTTAAACCAAGTATGAATTAAGGATATATGAAAGAAAAACACCAAGAACCGTAAGTTAAGGCCCTTGGCCGATCATATTGCTCGAGGTTTAAGTAACACTAAAATAACCCCTCTCTTTACATTTCCTAATAAAATTGCTATTAAAAAAAATTATAAAATCATAATAAATTTAACAATATTTTTTTATTAGATATTTAAATGTTATATAAGGAAGATGTAGTAAGAACATACCATATAAATAGTGTATAAGATTACATAAGATTAAAAGCTTATTGGACATTTAAATTTATCTAAACTATACGTTTAGTCCCCGACAAACTTTCAACTTCATATCTATTTGGTCAATTTCTAATAGGTCTCTAAATTTTCATTTTTTTTAAGTTCAACATTTTAGGAGTAAGTATTTGAACTATCAAACTTTGTGATCTTATTTCATACCGTATCTACTAAATTATGCTTAGGGTAGTTCATACCAAATAATATTTTGACCCATAACATAATACGAAAAATTGTTTGTTTAGTGGGAGAATTTATGGGTCAAACTAAATTGAGTTTATTACGATGAATTAATTTTGTAAATATGAGAATATTTAAGTTTAGTTTGTTCCACTTTTATACGAGTAAAATTAGGTTTAATTGTCAATTATTCCCATCGAAATGAAAGAAACATATTATCGTTATATTGGGATAGGTAACCACAATATTAACAAATGTTTTTATTTATTATTAGTAGCATTTTAGTTATTTTCAAAAATTACCAAACCGAGCTATTGTTAACCATCTGTCACTGGTAGCAACACGTGTTCTAAAGTGTAATGCAATAGTCCTTTAAATTTAAAGTTGATGAACAAGGATGACGTTTCAATATTTTATATTCTTGTTGTAAATGAGGGCAATTACCGACATGTTTCGAAATGAGTTCTTCTTATTGTTTATAATAAAAATATAACCATGTTTGATAACGGTTTTTTTAATTAAAAAATATATATTTGAAATTCATATGGGTATTATGGAAATGCCACTTGATTGTTAAGCAACCAGGATACTATCTCATGTAGACCATTAGGATAGTCCTTGGTTTTTAAGCAACCTGGTGACTACCCTAACCCAAGAGGAGCTCAAAGTTATCACTTTATTAAGTAATTAGGTTACTATGTTATGATAAACTTTAGAATGAGCCATTTATTTTTAAGCAACCTGGTTACTATCTTATGATTAATAAGTAATTTGGATGATTCCCTAAATTCCCTAAATTAAGAATTAGAATGAGACCATGACTTTTAAGTAATTAGGAGATCACCTTAATAACATACATTAAGTAAGGTTATCACACACAAAAACAATACCAAGGCACAAAGAATGCTAAGAACAAAGAACCAAGTTTCTAAGACTCCGAAACAAAAGAAACCTCTATTTTTCTCATGGTAAACCATGACTCAAACTACACCGCTTTGAGTGTAAGAAGTCTTCGATGAAGGTTTCAAAATACGCCACTTGGAATATTTAAAGTCTTGAGCATAGGTATTCAAACTATGTCATTTGGAATGTAGAAGTCTTGGGCATACGTTTCTAGACAGCGTCACTTGAAACGTATGAAGCCTTGGACGTAGGTTTCAAATTACACCGCATGGAACATAGTAATCCTTTGGTGTAGGTTTCAGATTGTGTCGCAAAGAATTCATTAAGCCCTTGATACATGTTTAGACGATGTGTCTTGAAACACATGAAGCCTTGGACGTAAGTTAAGACTGTGTTGCTTAGAATGCATGAAATCTTGGACATAGGTTATCAGGTTCATGTCTTGTACCGTAAATCCAAGGGTGAGTGTTTTAAGAAACACAATAAGAAGCAAGAACAATAAATACGAACAAGAACCAAGAACAAGACTGGACAAGGACTAGAACAAGAACTAAGAACTAAGGTTACGGACTAGAACATGGATCAAGATCTATGTTATCACAATTAAGAATCCAGAACCTTGGAGCTCAGAGTATGATAAAAGGTTAGTTAATATGATGTTATGATTATTTTTCACAAATGTAAGAAACGTTAAAAAGAGGAAAATAAAAGTTAACAAATATGAAATAAAAGTTTTACCGAATGTGAAATAATGCCACCAAAATTTTTAGTTGGTCACTGCAAGTAATCTCTATGCAGAAGAAAGGTTAATCCGAGTGTCACATTTAGAGTTCATAAGAGGTTGTGGACGGCGAACTTTGAAATTATCGTTGTTACTTTTTTGAAGAGTTAAACTTGAATCCTCAATTATTATTATTTTTTTCTTTTCTTTATAACTTTGAATCTCTATCCTTTTTACGAAATGAATGTATGATTTATGTAATTATTAAAACATGAAAAGTAGAAATGAATGTATGATTTATGTAATTCTTAAAACATAAAAAAGTAGAAATGAATGCATGATCTCTTATACTCCAACATCGTGAAGAGTTTAACTATCTCCATGTCGGTCTTGTCTAAGTCGCTGTAAAACCATTGTTCAGACTTGGATTAGATATCCCAGTCCTTATCTCCTTACGAGATAAGAGACATGAAGATTTCTCAAATTCTTTGTTGGGAATGGTTCAATCCAATCTAGAGAATGGACTAGTCTATTTCAATTGTTATCCAAATTTTACTTTGTCACTCCACGACCCACACATATTATCAGCTCTCATGCTGGATTTACAGTCAAAAAATTTAAACATCAAGGCTGAAACTCATTCTTCAGTCGTCATATTCAGGGTTTATTATAAGCTCATGAATACAAACATTTCTCCAAGAGCATTAAGATCCTCACCAAAAGGATCGACTATGCTCATAGAAGCGAATATTGGAAAATCATCAGTGACTGTCCCAAAAACACTCTCTTTGGATCAAATAACCAGAAGCACTCTCTAGAAAATAGAAGATGCAAATCTTCCAAAAAGAAAAGAACCTCAAAACCCAGTCCAAATCATCAAACATGGCGATGGAAACGTTGAAATAAAATTCAGCGAAGAACCTTCGTTAGAGTCGAAAGTATAAGAATTCCTAAGTTCTAGACCAAGTACTTCAGGAATATCAAGATCGATGTATGGCCCCTTAAATGTAAAAGAGGTCAGTTATGATCAAAAAAGGGCGTCAATCCACTATGAAGATGGCTCAAGGTCTCCAACCCATACGGATATGGATACTCAATCCGTCTACGAAAGCCAGCTAAATGTCATTACAGCTGATTTCCAGATAGACAAAGAATTTTTTAAAGCAGATTTTATGTCAACTACCAACTCTTAAAAAAGAAATGCCTTCTTCCAAACCTACAAAGAAGCTGAGCGAAATGAATTAAGAGCTCAGTGGTATTCTCATATGGAAGCCATCAAAGAGAATATACCATTCTTCGAATGGTTTGAAGAAAATATTTTGCAGGTATGCACTTTAACTCAGAGGAGTTGGAAGACTATCAAAAGAGGCGAGATATATTTGAAACATCCTCCGTTAGAAGAAGTCGAATTCGACAACTACTACGGAGAAAAGGTCAAAGCTAGTCCTTTCAAAAATATTCCAGAAGGACTAGAAAAGGGTAATCCGACCCTAAGAGATATCAAGAATATCCAGCATCAAAACAATTACTCAAATAAGATTTTATCCACGATCGCTACTCGACTCGAGAGCGTCGAGGGAAAAATCTCAAAGAAATCAGGTACTCAGCAGGAACAGGCAAGCAGCTCTGTACCAAAGGTTGATGAGTCAATACCAATACTCCGACCGGAAAATCTCGAAATATTTACGAAAAGGATTTCAAAAGAAGAGGCTGCAATGGCCAAAATAGAGGAAAAATTGGACAGGATACTAAATCCCGCCATGACGCCTCAAGATTCATCTGTCAATGTCGTTAACAATGACGGCGAAAACCAAGAATCCGAAGACGAGAGTGCAAATGAGAGAGAAGAACCTTTCTACAATCGAATTGAAAGGATCTCTAGAAGAAGTCAAAATAATACCAGTAATCAGAAAAACTGGTATCCTCAACCGTCTTTTTCGGATATCCAGTTCGAAGAAAAGACACTGCAAACTCAAGCTCATTACGATGGTCTAGCAATCTATGATGGAATATCGATGGATTGTCTGACTATCTGATAATGAATGTTGTCAATGAGATGATGATGGTCGCAGGCGCGTATAAATTACAGGACCATAAATCCGACCATCAGATAGCTCAAGTTTTAGTAACTAGATTTACCGGGCAACTCAAAGACTGGTGGGACAAATATCTCGACGAAACAACTCGCCAACAGATATTAAACCACTATGTCGTTAGGCCAACTACTCAAATCATCAAAGAAGAAGGTCCATCAACTAGGACCGAAGTACAACATGAAAGGGTAGAGGATGCTGTCAACACCCTCACATATACCCTCATAGAATTCTTCGTCGGCGACCCTCTGAAATACCAGGAGAGATCTGCCGAAATACTCATGAATCTGAAATGCCCTACCTTAGGTGATTTCAGGTGGTACAAAGACATATACTTCAGCAAAGTTCTTATTAGAACAGATAGTTCGTTGGAATTCTGGAAAGAGAATTTCGTCAATGGACTACCAAAACACTTCTCAAGGAGGATCAAAGATGGTCTTAAGACAAAATACAATGGAACAATTCTATGGCAGACTTTGTCATACAGATCCATAGCATCCTTCATCATAGAAGAAGGACTCAGACTTTGTAATGAGTCAAAGATTCAAAACAAGCTTAATTCTTCGATATCAAACAGAAAAGAGCTTGGAAGATTTTGCGATCAATATGGATGCAAGGAGATAGAAGCTCCCTCAACCTCCAGACGAAAGAAGGTTAAGACACATCCAAAACCTTATCATTCATACAGGCCTAGAGAAGCATATCGAAATAAACCCGTGCAGTCTCAAAAGCCAACGTATTCAAGAAGAAGGTATACTCCTACAAAACCCCATAAAGGAAAGAAAAGGAAAACTTGCTTCAAATGTCGAGAGGAAGGACATTATGCTAATAAGTGTCCAATTAGAGGAAAGATCAATGAGTTGGATATAGAGCTGAAAAATTAGCTATTACGACTGACCCTAACCGACTCAGAGCAATCAAGCGAGGGAGAAATCCTCGAACTCCAAGAAGAATCCGATTCTTATTCTAGCACATAATACGAATCAGAACAAGAAGGAAAAAGGATGTGCGTAGGATGCATAAATGTCCTTACTAAGGATCAAGAAATTCTACTCGAAGTAGTAGAAAAAGTTCAAGATTCAGAAATTCAACAGAAGATTGCTCAACGACTTAGGGATGCCATGACAATCTCTAAGCCACCTGAAAGGGAAGAAAGAAATCCCTACAGACTCTAATCTGTTCTCCAAAGATTTGAAAAATCGAGGGAACTCACTACTCAAGATTTACAAAGAGAGATTAATAATCTCAAACAAGAGGTACAGGCGTTAAGATCTGAAACTAGGTCAGAATCTTATATGCTTCATCAAGAAATTCTCAATCTTCGGGAAAAGCTGCCCGAATAAGAGGAAACGGCGCAACCAAACCTGGACAAAAAAGATTTTCAAAGTTCCTTCATTCGAGCCATCACCACTTCTCAATATCAAAAATGGTATGCTCTCGTTACCTTAAAAATTTATGATTTCAAAATCACACTAAAGGCTCTCATAGATACTGGAGTCGATCAAAATTGCATTCAAGAAGGCCTAATACCTACAAAGTATTTTGAAAAAACTACTAAGGGCCCTAGAGGTGCTAACAACAACAAACTCAAAATTAATTACAAACTATCAAAAGTTCATGTTTGCAATGATGGAATTTGCTTCGTAAATTCTTCCTTTTAGTAAAAGACTTAGGACAAGAATTAATCCTAGGTACTTCTCTCATTACAAAAATTATATCCTTTTAGAATAACTTAAAAAGGGTTAGAATCAAAGGCCTTAGAAAAGAAGATAAAATTTAACTTTTTTCCCCATAAGGATTAGCGAAATAAATAACCTTCAAAAGAATACAATTATTCAATCAATAAATGTATTAAATTAAAAAAAAAACAAATTTCTTTTTTAAAAGAAGAAATTTCATTAAAAAGAATAGAAGAACAGATTCAAAATGGCCTTAGGAAAGAAGATAAAATTTAACTTCTTTCCACATAAGGATTAGCGAAATAAATAACCTTCAAAAGAATACAATTATTCAATCAATAAATGTATTAAATTATAAAAAAAAAAAAATTTCTTTTTTAAAAGAAGAAATTTCATTAAAAAGAATAGAAGAACAGATTCAAAATAAGACTGTCTAGTCTAAAATCAAAACTTTACAAACTCAAATAGAAAGGGAAATTTGTTCAACTATCCCTAATGCCTTCTGGAATAGGAAGCAACACATAGTTGATCTTCCTTATATCAAAACTTTCGAGGAGAAAAATATTCCTACGAAGGCCCGACCTATTCAAATGAATAGAGAATTACTAACATTCTGCAAAGCAGAAATCAATGATCTTTTGCAGAAGGGTCTTATTAGACCGTCAAAGAGCCCCAGGTCATGTGCGGCTTTTTACGTCAACAACCAGGTAGAAAAGGAACGTGGAGTCTCGCGACTGGTAATAAACTACAAACCCTTAAATAAGGTTTTGGAATGGATTAGATATCCAATTCCAAATAAATTAGATTTAATGCAAAGAATTTCAAATGCAAAAATATTTTCAAAATTTGATATGAAATCAGGATTTTGACAAATCCAGATTTCAGAAAAAGACAAGTACAAAACGACTTTCAATGTCCCTTTCGGACAATACGAATGGAACGTTATGCCATTTGGGCTAAAAAACGCTCCATCCGAATTTCAAAAGATTATGAATGATATTTTCAATCCTTTTCAATACTTTTCAATTATTTATATTGACGATGTTCTGATTTTTTCTGAAAACATCTATCAACATTTTAAGCATCTCCAAACATTTTTGACGACAGTCAAAAGAAACGGTTTAGTTGTGTCTAAACCCAAAATTAAACTTTTTCAAACAAAAATCGGTTTTCTTGGATTTGAAATTCATTTGGGTCTAATTAAACCCATTCAAAGGTCCATTGAGTTTGCCTCAAACTTTCCAGATCAAATTACAGATAAAACCCAACTACAAAGGTTTTTGGGATGTCTCAATTATGTGTCTGATTTCCTTCAAAATATCAGACCAATCTACAATCCACCTTTTTGAGAGGCTCAAAAAGAATCCAAAGCTTTGGACGGACACACCAAAACAGTCCAAAAAATCAAATCCCTTGTCAGGTCAATTCCGTGTTTATCGCTTATAAACCAAATGGCTAGTTTAATAGTGGAGACCGACGCATCCGATATTGGATATGGAGGAATCCTAAAACAGTCCCTTGACAAGAAAGAATCCATTGTCCGTTTTCATTCGGGAATATGGAATTCTACTAAAAAAAATTACTCAACAGTAAAGAAAGAAATACTTTCAATAGTACTTTGTGTACAAAAATTTCAAAGTGATTTAATTAACAAAAGCTTTGTTATCAAAAACAGATTCAATGGCATCTAAATTTGTTTTAGAAAAAGATATCAAGAATATTGTGTCTAAACAAATTTTTGCTAGATGGCAAGCCATTTTATCTTGCTTCGACTTCCAAATTTTGCCTATAAAAGGGATCGAAAACCCCTTGGCAGATTACCTCTCAAGAGAGTTCTTACTCTCAAAGAAAAATTCTCCCTAACCAATCTCCTTCTCCCAGCAATGACCGGAAAGAAAGTGATCGAAAAAGGGAAGAAGCTCAATGCTTCTTCAAGCACACCTACTCCAATGACATCCGACAGCTATGCGATGGATGCTGGTTTCACATTGGTGACCAGATCGAAAGCAAAGCTTTCTCAAAAACAGGTGGAGGTTATCACTCCGACGAGGCCTTCTGCCTCTTTAACATGGCAATCTACCGTTACTCCATTGAGACCCACTGTCTCTTCCACTTCAAAGGGACCTTCTATCCCCTCGACCTACTCGAACGCGGTTGTTCCCGTTCGTTTTTCTCCAGTTCCTGAAATCAAGACCTATTTTCAAAAATCTGTGTCTATACAAGAAGCTCTGGTAGAACCAGAATACGACGACCCGAAAATCGGCGAAGTCGTTAAAAAAGCCTATCCATCGGGATTCTTTTATATCCCAGAAGATCTTAATAAAACCAGAAGATTTTATGAATTCATTCTAGTCGACACAAAATTTGTCGAAATTACTCATATTTCGAGTCGCGATGATCCTTCGAAAATCGAGTATTCAAAATTAAAAATATTTAAAGTCATGAACCCGACGTATTGGAATCAAGATCCATACACGGAAAAGACTTTTTCAAAACCTTTGTTCCTCATTCTTACTCATACAGAGACTATCAGATGGCATGGTTCAATGTCATTTGGTATCAAAATTACGAGCACTCATGGTTTATTCAATTCTGCCAGAATGCTCATACCATTTTGGTTCATCAAATGGTGAAAAATCTTTGGATCAACCAAAGATATATTTCTAGTTCCAATACAAGAATCGTTCCACTATTTCGTTCAAAATATATTCAAAATCCCATTTCCATTAACCATGCGCTTTTGCGTATACTTTCAAATTCCTTGGATTTTAACTTGGAATTTTCAAATTAAAGAAACCGAAGACCAAATGAAACCGGTCTTCAAAACTATCAAAATCAAATGGTGGGATAAATATACTTATACCCACGCAGACATCAAAGTGGTAAAGGTCTGGCTATCCGAGAATGGCCACCTTCAGGCTTTATCCAAGAAAAGGACCTCCGAATTCCTTAATTCAAAGTCGAAGCTACTCGCCGCATTAGCCCAGACAACCTCCGAAGCTGATTTTCAAAAGCTTCTTCAAGAGGCCGCATCAGTCGGTTCGACATCTTCTCCTTCTATTATAGAGGAAGAAGATGAAGACACAATTTATGATCTCAATGATCCATTTTTGGATTCTTCAATTGATGTAGGTTTCAGATTGTGTCGCAAAGATGAAGACACAAGTTGTGTCGCAAAGACACAACTTGCATTTAACATAATAATCCTTTGGTGTAGGTTTCAGATTGTGTCGCAAAGAATTCATTAAGCCCTTGATACATGTTTAGACGATGTGTCTTGAAACACATGTAGCCTTGGACGTAAGTTAAGACTGTGTTGCTTAGAATGCATGAAATCTTGGACATAGGTTATCAGGTTCATGTCTTGTACCGTAAATCCAAGGGTGAGTGTTTTAAGAAACACAATAAGAAGCAAAAACAATAAATACGAACAAGAACCAAGAACAAGACTGGACAAGGACTAGAACAAGAACTAAGAACTAAGGTTACGGACTAGAACATGGATCAAGATCTATGTTATCACAATTAAGAATCTAGAACCTTGGAGCTCAGAGTACCATAAAAGGTTAGTTAATATGATGTTATGATTATTTTCACAAATGTAAGAAAATTTAAAAAGAGGAAAATAAAAGTTAACAAATATGAAATAAAAGTTTTACCGGATGTGAAATAATGCCACCAAAATTTTTAGTTGGTCACTGCAAGTAATCTCTATGCAGAAGAAAGGTTAATCTGAGTGTCACATTTAGAGTTCATAAGAGGTTGTGGACAGTGAACTTTGAAATTATCGTTGTTACTTTTTTGAAGAGTTAAACTTGAATCCTCAATTATTATTATTTTTTTCTTTTCTTTATAACTTTGAATCTCTAACTTTCTACGAAATGAATGTATGATTTATGTAATTCTTAAAACATGAAAAGTAGAAATGAATGTATGATTTATGTAATTTTTAAAACATGAAAAAGTAGAAATGAATGTTTTATTGGAGATTAAAATTAAAGTTAAAAGAATTAAAAGTTGTGATCGAATTTTATTTTATTTATCTATATTAAGTTTCTTTAATTATTATTCTAAAAAACATAATAAGTTCATATTTATGATTTTATGAAGTATTTTAACAATTTTTTTTAAATTTTGTTGAGTATTTCTTGAAATATTAATATGAAAACTTATGATCCAACAAAGACATTTGTAATGAAATTGATGGAATTTTGACTTATCTGAATGGTTTCTTTTGACGGTCGATCATTCTTTGGCCTATTTGATCTACATATCAGTTGGGTATCGTATAATTAATGGGCTCCGCGTTTTGGACAAATCTTATAGTAAACTCTTGAAAATTCAATTTTGCATGCGTCTAGTCATACAATTAAAAGTACCCATACCCTAATGGATAAGGTGTTTGACTTCTAATCATTTCTAAAATTTGTGTAAGTACCCATACCCTAATGGATAAGGTGTTTGACTTCTAATCATTTCTAAAATTTGTGTAAGAAATATCTACTCCAACGAGGGTGATACCGACATTGGTTTTCAATTTTAATCATTGGATCTACAGAACCTTGAGTCTTGTTAAACATATCCAAATTGCAGCTCAATCTATCAGTTGGATGTGAATATACAATTGATTTTCTTCTACTAACTGTTCTCGAACCAAATGTGGTTGCAGATTTTCTTTAATTGTAGTTTTTTAATTAAGTGGAACTTCAAGGGTATTTATGTAATTTGGCACATTCGAAATATTTTACTATTGTTTTTCTAGAAAAATCCATAATTTTTCTTAAAATATTTCATCCATTGGTGTTGCTGGTTATTTTTCCCATTCTCGAGTATCTTGAAATTTCTTCTATATAAGGAATTAAAATACAAAAAGATTCTTGGTAATTGAAGAAAATGATATTTTTGCCCTTTTCACTACTTTTTCCTTTTCAATCTTTGTCCAAAGGCCTTAAATTAGTAAAATTATTTGTAAGGATATAGAAATGACTTTATTAAGTCTCTTAGCCTTGCTTAATTCTCTTAATTTCTTTTCTTGAATCCTTTGGGTCTTACATGGGCAGCTAGTTCTTTTTCGAGCTAATTTTCTTTATTTTTTTTTGTGTTACATAAAATTTCATCACATGGCTCCTTATTTATCCATCAGAGTTTTGTACATGATTCTAAGATGGATTGGTTAACTCTTTACTAGACATGTCTATGTCGTACATCTACATATCATGAATATATGAGGTCCACTCTTTCTTATATCATGTTCCATACTATACCACACATAATTATTTGATTTATAAGCATCATAACAAAACCTTAAACTGTCCACCAAGAGATCTAAATCAGCTAAAAAAGGTTCTCAAACAACTTTAACCGCTTATTCAAAACAAGTATTTTTTATTTATTTGTTTTTTTTTATTTTTTTATTTCTATACAATGAACCCAATCCAAATGATTAAACATCAACAAAAAGGATTTGAGTATTTTTAAAAAAATGAAGACTCTAACGTATTATCTATTGTTTGCTTTGGAATCAAGCATTATTATTAATACATATTTTGCAGGTTCCAACCACAAGCTGTAGTAGAAATTTGGCATTTACCAGAAGGCAAATGGCAAGTGACTATTTACAATTATCAACAAAACTCAGTTTTAAATGCTCATTGCAAGTCAAAATACGACGATTTGAACGAACGTGTTTTGGACAAAAGAGCCCAATTCCACTGGAGATTCTAAGTAAAAATGAAGACTCTAACCAACTTCGGTATTATTTATTGTTTGCTTTGGAATCAAGCATTATTATTAACACATGTTTTGCAGGTTCCAACAGACAAGCTGTAGTGGAAATTTGGCATTTACCAGAAGGCAAATGGCAAGTGACTATTTACAAGTATCAAACAAACTCAGTTTTAAATGCTCATTGCAAATCAAAATATGACGATTTGAACGAACGCGTTTCGGACAAAAGAGCCCAATTCCACTGGATATTTGAAATGAACTTTTGGCAGACGACTTTGTATTGGTGCAATTTTAACAGTTCGAATGGACATGCATCGTTTCAAGTATTTTGGCCAAAGAACTGGCATTGGCTTTCTGAACGATGCAACATTAAACACTGCGTTTGGGAAGCATTTGATGATGGATTTAAACATAAAAAAATCTTCATTCGGTAAAGTTTGAATTGATACACCCTTGGGAAAAATGAAGTAAAATCTCCCCCAATCATTTTGGTTCCACGAAACCTACTTTTTGATTTTTTGATTTTTTTCTTTTATGTTTGCTTGCTTTCACATGTAATAATTATGCAGTGAGTTGTGGGGTTTCTTTATAGACTTAAAATTGTGGCATATTTTAGTATAATCAAAGGGTGAAAAATCTTTTGGGAATTATATTTCTTTGGATGTTGATAATTTGGTCGGGTTTCAAGTTTCTACGTGTATCGACCCATGTGCAAGCTTTCAAACTTTGGATTTGGCCGTTAATGGCCCTAATATTCCCCTAACAATATTGTAAGGTTATTTATTTCTTGCTTCTAAGAGTGAAAACTATCTCCACAGACAAATATGAATCCTTTCAGCATGTCTTTTCCTCACTCACATGTTTGCTACGAAAATTCTCAAGAGATCTTCCATCATAAAATTGCTCTAAGAAAAGCACATTTAATCTCGAAGTTCTTATGATTAAGCCAACAAAAAGGAAAGTGCATCTCGTTGATATAGGTAGTAAGTTTCAATTCTTTTTAAGCATTTCTTAGTCATCTATACTCTAGGTCACTTTATCGGATATAATCTTGGTTCATTCATGTACTCTCTTTTACTCGGGTATCACTCTACTCAAAACCCTTTCAGAATTATGTAATATTTTAGGTTTTAACATTTTAAAGGTAACAAATTAGGACGAAAAGAAAATATGTATAATAATGAGAAATGCCAAGGTTAATATCATAAAATGGATATATGCAAAGAACTCAAGTCAATTTTCCTAAAAAAAAAAAAAAGAATGATAGTCAATTGCAACTTTCTAATATGAAACCAACTAAGTGGCACAACATTTTTTTAGTAAAAAAATATCATTAAAGATTATTTGTTATACTCATACAAAAAGAAAAAAAAAACATATACAAGGACAATGATCTATACAAGACTACGAAAGGAAGAAACTATATGGAAACAGAGGAAATAGATGAAGGAGAAGTACCCAAATAATTTCAATATTAAGACACTTTCGAGGACGAAAGTTTCATCTTGACGTGTATGATGTATGAACGAAAAATTAAAAAAAAAAAAAAGAAGCGAAACTTTGTGCCACGTTGCTAAAGCTGATAAGTGGCGGGTTGGCCTCCACTATAAAAACGGGAGGTCCCCCACTTCATTTTATCATCCTAAATGAACGGTTTGTGCCAGTCAGAGAGTACACTTTCTGACGGCTCAAGGCTAAAATTTTGGTTGTTTTGCTCGGACTCTTTCCTCCTAGTTTCAATTTTTAGAAAGAAAGTGTTCAAAGTTAATATGTATGACTACCTTCTGGCTAGTTAAATTTTTTGAATCGAGTTTAAATTATTTATGCATGTTAGGCCTAGTTTAAATTATTAGGAGTCAGTTTCTCTGCACTATTGGACTTAGTTTAAATTATTGGGACTAAGTTTCTATGCAGTTTTGGGCTTAGTTTAAATGATTGGGAGTAAGTTTTTATTTATAATTAGACTTAGTTTAAATTATCAGGAGTAAGTTTTTATGCATAATTAGACTTAAGTTCAATTTTTGGAATAGAATTTAAATTACTTATGCGTGATTAGGCATAGATAGTTTAAATCATTAAAAGTAAATTTTTATGCATAATAAGATTTAGCTAGTTTGTGCGTTATGAAACATTATGTTGAAAGTATGAAAATGTTACATTATGTCTTGTGAATTGCATGTATAGAATGATATGAATGACATGAAGAACGATAAATAGCATGAAATATAATCCCGATATAAGCATGAACGATATGATAACTGATACGAGAAATGGTATGAATGTCAATGAAATGATAGTGTGGGTTATATTTAATAATGTTATAAATGAAAAAATATTGGGACCTAATACATTAATTTGTGCTCATGCATTTGGGGATACCCGCATTCCTTCACGATGGTATGGACGCGAACACCACTAGGAAGCATAACTACCATTATGTTTTACGTAATGCTGCCGTGACGGCTAGTATTTCTAACGGGTATCTGACATAGAGAGCTACCATGTGACATGATAGGTTCTATTATTTAAAAAACAACATGGCATTGCCTTAGGTAGCTTTCCAATTTCCGCAGGGGTGGATGTATAGTACTTTGCTACTCATGACCCAACCACAAGCACAAGGACCGAACTGAGGGCCAATGTACCGCCTAGGCCTGTCTTAATGGACTAGCACTCGCTAATGTGCTTTCAGACACCATGGAGGGAAAGGGCCTGCGTAACATCACGACAAACATAATTGTCGTAAGTCGTAAAGTACATATTTGTACTAATCATAATAGAAAAGTATCATGATGCATATGACACACAAAAATTCACGAGGTCCCCATGCCTTAAAATAATGACATAAATTTATAATGCAAGTCAAACCTCCATTCCATTTATAACTTAATTATGCAGACATAATTCTTATAAAATCTTTCATATACACGACACGACATAACACATCATAGATTATCATCAATAATAACATATTATTACAACATAGTATAGTCACACTATCATCTAGCTTATAAACATGGCATAACACAACATTGGATAGCATAACAATCATAATTATGACATGCTCAAGGGTCATACGTATGCGCTATAATACGCAATACAATTCATCCAACCAAGCAAATAATAGAGTCACTCACTTGAATAGGTTAAACATGTTAGGTTATGGAGCATGCTGCTTATTTATAGCTTGGTCGGTTATATCCGGTAAAGCTATATATGGTAAATAGCTATATATAGTAGATAGTTAAATCGGGTAAAGCTATATATAGTAAATAGCTATATATAATAGATGGTTAAATCTAGTAAAGCTATATATAGTAAACTGAACTATATATATATCCGTCCGGTAGAGCTTTGAAATGTACTTTCTATTCTCTGTAATTCTCTCTTACTGTACATACGTGAAGTCATCAATAAAAAAAATCCTTTTAGCCAGAGTTCTCCTTGCACTTTTCTCTATCCTGTTCTTTGTGTTCATCTAGATCGAGTGTGTGCGTTGTTGTGCGATCCCAACAACTGGTATCAGAGCTAGGCAAAATTCACCACAATCTGGGAAGATGGAAAGTTCAAAGATTGAAATTGAGAAGTTCGATGGATCCGATTTTGGTTTCTGGAAGGTGCAGATTGAAGATTATCTGTACTAGAAAGATCTTCATGAACCTCTGTTGGGGGTGAAGCTGGATACCATGACCACGGAATAGTGGAAGCTCAAGGATCGACAAGCCTTGGGGCTGATCCAGTTGACGCTATCCAGAAACGTGGCGTTTAACATTATCAAGGAGAAGACAACGTCAGATCTATTAAAGGCGCTGTCAAATATGTATGAAAAATCGTCAGTTATGAACAAGGTGTATTTGATGCTGAGATTGTTCAATCTACAGATGTCCGAAGGTGGATCTGTTGCTGATCATATAAATGAATTCAATATGATCATAAGTCAACTGAGTTTGGTGGAAATTAATATCGAAGATGAAATTAAAGCGTTGATTTTGATGTCATCCTTACCCGAGTCATGGGATACTGTTGTTGCCGCAATCAGCAGTTCTCGAGGATCTGATAAACTGAAGTTTGGTGAAATTCGAGATGTAGTTCTCAGCGAAAGTATTCGCAAACGGAAAACTGAAGATTCATCAAGCAATGCTCTCAGTGTCGATCGAAGGGGAAGAAGTAAATCAAAGAGCTCAAACAAACATGGGAGATCAAAATCAAAGAACCGAGAAAAATCTCCAAACAAACCCAACGTAACGTGTTGGAACTGTGGGGGAAAAGGACACTTTTAGACAGATTGTACAAAAATGAAGAAGAAGCAGAATCATAAATTTGAAGATGATGATGATTCTATATATACAACAGAAGATACTGAGGACGTTTTAATCCTTAGTGTGGACACCCAGCTGAATCCTGGATTTTGGATTCAGGTGCATTGTTCTATTCGTCTCCAAGTAAGAAATTGTTTCGAAATTTCAAATCAGGAAATTTCGGGAAGGTGTATCTTGCCGACAACAAAACCTTGGACATTGAAGGGAAGGGAGATGTCTCCATACAAACTCGAGTAGGAAATCAGTGGACATTACAAGATGTCAGATACATTCTTGGTCTCAAGAAGAACCTGATCTCTATTGGTCAGTTGGATAGCACAGGCTATACAGCAGAGTTTTGAAAGAGTTCATGGAAGATTGTGAAGGGTGCCATGGTTGTTGCACGTGGCACAAAATCTGAAACCTTATACACTAATGCAAAGTGTATAAACATGACTACTGCTGCTGAGAGTGCTTCCAATTTAAGTCTATGGTAAAATAGACATGGACATATGAGCGTCAAAGGAATGAAGATGCTGACTGCGAAAGGAGCTTTAGAAGGCTTAAAATCTGATGATATGGGTCTTTGTGAGAGCTGTGTTATGGGCAAACAGAAACGAGTTAGTTTCACAAAGGCTGCCAGAGAACCGAAGAAAGTGCAGTTGGAAATGGTCCATACAGACGCCTGGGGACCATCTCTAGTTTCATCTCTTGGTGGATCAAGGTACTACGTCACCTTCATCGATGACTTCAGTAGAAAGGTATGGGTTTACTTTCTGAAACACAAGTCAAATGTGTTTACCACCTTCAAGAAGTGGAAAGCTGAAGTTGAAAATCAGACCGGTTTGAAGATCAAATACCTGAGGTCTGACAATGGAGGAGAGTACAACGAATCAGAGTTTATAACATTTTGTACAGCTGAGAGAATTAGATTAATAAGAACAATTCCTAGTAAGGCAAAGACAAAATGGTATTGCAAAAAGGATGAGCAGAACATTGAATGAGCGAGCAAGGTTCGACGAAGCAAGTAGGAGTTGAGCTTGAGTTGCAGAAAAACTCACTTAGTAATGTTGTAGCAAATAATCATGAAACTCCTAAGACTACTGCTGAGAAACCATATGTGGAGCAAGGTTCCAAGACCACGAAGCAAGTGGGAGTTGAGCTTGAGTTGCAGGGAAACTCACCTAGTGATGTTGTAGTAGATACTCAAGAAACTCCTGAGACTACTGCTGAGGAACCAAATGTAGAGCAAGGTTCCAAGGCAACAAAGCAAGTGGGAGTTGAGGTTGAGTTGCGGAGAAAATCACCAAGTGATCATGTAGCAGATACTCAACAAACTCCTGAGGTTGTTGCAGAGGAACCAGCAGTAGAGCAAGTGACACCTGAACCTGTGCTGATAAGATCATCCTGTACTATCAGAGTACCAGATATGTATGTGCCTTCATTACACTATCTGTTGCTGATGAAAGGGAACCACAACCCTTTGATGAGGCCCTACAGTTGAAGGATACAACCAAGTAGGAGGAAGCCATGGATGATGGGACGTCTAGGCTTCAAAAATGCGTTGTACTGAGATTGAGTACGTGGCAATAGTTGAAGCTGAAAAGAAGACGATATGGATGACTGACTATCTGGAAGAATAGGCAAGAAGTAGCACGAAGATATTCTTTACAGATATAGTCAGAGTGTCATACAGTTGGCGAAGGAACCCGGTCTATCATTTAAAGAGAAAACACAGAAAACGATACCATTTCACTTGCAGGTTAATGAAAGATGGTGATGTGTTTGGAGAAGATAGAGGGTGCAAAGAATCCAGCAAACATGTTGACAAAATGTGTTGATCTTGGAATATTGAGGTTATGCAAAGCCTCAATTGATATGGTGCCATGAAGACCATGAAGATGCTCATGGTCGTTTGAGAATGAAATTCTTGGTTGACTACATCAGTCTCCAAGTGGGAGAATTTTTAGGTTATGGAGCCTGCTGCTTATTTATAGCTTGGTCAACGGTTATATCTAGTAAAGCCATATCCGGTAAAGCTATATATAGTAAATAGCTATATATAGTAGATGGTTAAATCTGGTAAAGCTATATATAGTAAACTGAACTATATATATATCCCGTCCGTTGAAGCTTTGAAATGTACTTTCTATTCTCTGTAATTCTCTCTTACTGTACATACGTGAATTCATCAATAAAAAAATCCTTTTAGCCAGAGTTCTCCTTGCACTTTTCTCTATCCTGTTCTTTGTGTTCATTTAGATCGAGCGTCTGCGTTGTTGTGCGATCCCAACAAAATAAGGGTTGTTACTTTATCTTTGGAGCTAGTCTAATTTGGTGGTGGCTTAATGGGACGTTTTGTGATTAATAAAACTAATAATATGTTGCATGAACGCTTCTTTTGACCAAAGATGAAGCACGATGTTCACAATGAACGCTTCTTTTGACCGAAGATGAAGCACGATGTTCACAAGTTTTGTAGCCAAGAATAATTATTTAGGGATGATGCAAAGCATGTTGCTCGCTTCTTATATATGGAAGTAGTAAGATTACATGGAAACCAAAGAATAGTGGTTAGAGATAAGGATGTTAAACTTTTAAGTCACTTTTGGAATGTATTGTAGGGTAAGTTGGGTACCAAGTTGTTGTTTTCAACTATATGTATTCCTCAGACGGGTAGACTGATGGGCTATTATTTACAAGAATATTATGTCTTGGGACGAAAGTTTGCCATTTGTAGAGTTTGCATATAACAGAGCAATTCATAGTACATCTCATTGTTCTTCTTTTGAAGTTGTTTATGAATTTATTCCACTTACACTTCTTGATTTGCTTCCCCTAATTCTTCTAATATTTTTTGTGAGTGAAGCAGCTACAAGTAAGGTAGATTTGATCAAAGTATTGCACAAAGAGGTGAAGGGTTGCTTCAAAAATTAACAAAGAACGGAAGAAAATTATTTTTCAACCCAGTGACTGGGTTTTGATACATTTTCGCAAAGAGCAATTCCATCTCAAAGAAAGACCAAGTTACATCAGAGAGGGGATGACCCTTATCAAGTCCTTAAAAGAATCAATAACAACGCCTATAAAATTGATCTTCTCAGAGAATTTTCAGTACGTTCTACTTTCAATGTTGTTGACTTGAGTCTTTTTTATGTAGGTGATAATTTTCCTGATACGAGGACGAATCCTTTTGAAAAGTGGGAAGATGAGTACTGAACATTATATATTTTCAAATATATGTATATGCTATGAACATTAAACATTATATATATATATTTAAATAATCTAAATGTATGTATAAATCATATTCAATAAAACCATATTCTTAAAATTAAAAATAAACTTATTCATATTATAATATATGTATTTAAAAATAGTATAGAAAGAATGAATAGTTTAAAAATAGTATAAACTATTGAGGTATGAGAAATTTAAAATATATATATAAAAAAAAAACCTAAATAAAATAATATAAAAGAAGCTAAGATCAGTAAAGTAATAAAAGATGAATCAAGTTGGAGTCAAACGTGCACATGCAGATTCGTTGAGTCCAAGCTCTGACAACTGGACTCGTTGGATTTTTCAATTCTATCAATCCATGCACCAAGGGGAACTGGAATGTTATTTAAGATTTAGAAGTCGTACTGATTTTAGCATTAATCCGGCAAGTTTTAAAAATATCTAAAACAAAACTTTTATTTGGTAACTTTTAAAATTCTAAATTTTCAATCTCACCTTTATAGTTTAAATTAGAGAAACATATTTTTAAATTTTTTTACCAATAAATCTGTATACGGACTATAATAATATTTGGGAATATATGTATTTAAATAAAATATAATTTTAGTAATGACACAATATTCGAAGCTAGAAACTTTATTTTAAAATATTTAACCATCTTTTATCATTATTTTCTTAATTTCTTTTTCATTTTAAAAGTGAACTTATCTAAATAATGAATGGTCAAACTTTAACCTTTACCTAAAAGGAACTAATAAAATAAAAAATCAGTTACCAAAGCTAACAGCAAGAGAATTGAGAAAATTAAGAAAGTTTAGGTGACTCTCCCACCCTGTTATCCAAGATATGTTGTAATAACAAAAATTTACACAACACTTTTAACTAATTGTGTTTAAATATAACTAAGTACTACTCATTTTGGCTATATTTATGTATATATAAGAGATAGAATCCAATTACATTTGTAAAAAAGGGTGAACGATCTTCTAGAAGAAAATGAAGTCTCTAAGCATATTCTGTTTAATCGTGTTGGTTACCCTGGCATCAAACAATATGATGAAGTTTTGTTTTGCAGAATCTAAGTTACAATTACCGTTCTCCTGATGGAGAGTGACTATTTTAAATGGGATGAATGCTTCAACTCTAACTATTCATTGCAAGTCAGCAAATGACGATCTGGGTGAGCACATACTCCGCACTGGAGATAATTACAATTAGAGTTTTAAAGAAAATTTTTGGACTTCTACGTTGATTTGGTGCCATTTTAGCAGCAAATATGGACAAGTTAATGGAAATGTTTTTTTGGCCAGTAAAAGGGAATTGGTTTAATGATCAATGTGATGATAATAATTGCACTTGGGCAGGTCGAGAGGAAGGTATTTACTTGTATTTTGGATCTCTCAATAGATTCCAGTTAATGTATCATTGGAAATGATGCAGATTGACTTTCATGCAATTTCAATAAATAATTTTATGAACTCTCGTTATCTTTTTTTTTTTGAGGTAAAGGTTCAATTTTAATCCATTTAATTTTCAAAATTTTTAAACATAAATTACATCTTCAAACTAATTAATTTGGATAGATATATAAAGTACGAAGTTCCATTTAGGAACTTTTAGTGATTGAATAAGGAAAGAGAAGAAGACTACTTTAGGTTTGTGTGGTAAGAGAAAAGTTCCCAAATTCTTAAACTCTAGCTTATTTGACAATGTTTACAATGAAAGTTCCCAAATTCTCGAACTCTAGCTTGGCCACAAATCAAATACAGTAAGTCGTTTGTAGATCCATATGATTTACTAGTGCATTCAATTTGCATTGGGTTAGGGTGAAATTTTTAATCGGTTTCATGTCATGATTTTGACTCCAAAAATCTACTAGAATTGGGGTAGGTAGCCAAAAGAGAGGAAGTATTACTAATTTCTTGCATTTGTATCTTCAAACGTGTTATACCATAAAATTTATCATATGTTTAGTACATCATCAGAACACGCGTCATAACATTCACGTATCATCTCATAGCCACGTTGTATCACACACATATCATGGATGTAACGACCCTAAATTTCCACATACTCAGAGTCGCTACTAACGTCTCATGCTCATCTATAATATGGAAATATAACTCTTACATGAACATAATTGATAATGTAAACTTCAAAAAAAAAACGTTTAAAACAACTTCTTCTCTGGAAAACACAGCCATGGTCTTACGTGTTTAAATATGAAATACTGAAATTTAGAGAAAACAAAAACAAATACAAAATAATTTAAAACAATGAAATGCAAAACAACCTATTCTAACTTAAGACTAGAAATTTAAATATGAGTCTACCCTATGCACGTGCCACAGTCTCTGCTCGCGATGCCACCGTCCTCCGTACAAGTGCGCCTTGCCTTTACCTGAAAAATGATGTGGCACACGACCTGAGTATTTTAAAGAATACTCAGTAAGTGGCCCCACTATAGGGGGCCATGCAAATGCAAACACATGCAATCATGATTTAGGGACCTATCTCTAATCATCTTAGGGGTGGCCTCCAGTCTCGGACAAATTGGATGCGTAGTACTTCCCTACACACGACTCACACGTGCGAGTGTGAATCCTCAGGGCACTCGCACACCCCCTGGACCCTCTGGTCAAGCTAATCTGTAGCGACGTCCGGAGGTCAGCAGAACCCCATAGTGTTATGCACCTCATGAACACCCTCATCTGTGTGTTTTCGCACCTGTGCGCATACGCGCTCATCATACGGTGCGTCTGCACTCATCATCTCTAGGGGAAGTAGCCCTATGCTTATGAACATACAATATGCATGAGGTCCCTCTAAATCCATCATAATGTCTCTTCTGACACAACCCTCTAGTCTCATCTCTTTGTTACTCTAGGTAACACATACTGGTGGATATTTATATTAATATCATTTTCACGCTCTTAGGGTTGTGTCCTATGTCGATCTAACGACATGATGCAGTATGGCACTCATCATCATATAGCATGCTCAATATGGAAAACATCATCATATTAAGATAAACGTCACGCAATCATCATACTCATCATATTGCCACAAAGTGCATCAAACATATCAAGTACGACATTCATCAAAATATATATATACTGAGCACATCATCAGGTATCATAACCCACACATCATCATAACTCATACATCATCATAACTCATATACCGCATCGTACAACATAGTTCATACAACATCGTAACTCATACAATTTTTAGCCTATCCTATAGTAAGGCCACTTACCTAGTTGGCCTTAGTCGAAGTACTCCTTAATTTAATTAACGTAAGCTCCCGTTCCTCGAGAGCTGCTCTAAAGGTTGCTGGAGTTTGCTTCATATCCCACCGTTCGCCACCTTTTGTTAGTATTTCACATTTTAATTAATAATCCAACTAACAATGTGAAATACGGCTCTAAAACGGTCTCAATAAAAATCGAATTCCAAGTTTTCATTGTTTCTAAAATTTCTAAAACTCAAATTGAAAATATGTCAATATTATTTCATGCTGCTTTGAATCATTCAATCCAACTATGGTTTGTTATAATATTATATTCTCTGGATACAAACAATAATAATTTTTCACATCTTCCATTTTCCTTCTTGTACCTCTTTGTTCTCTTCAGAGTTCCTACAAATGATTATGCAATTATAAAACAATTTCAACCAATTCTGTTCTCCTCTCTTTCCTAATATGACTATTCAATTAACATAAAGCCATTTTCAATCTTTTCTTCTCTTTCCCAAATCACTATCAAATTCATTTACAATCCATTCTAATTTTCCTTCATAAAACTAACTATCATCAGTCAATTATGATTTTCTTCTCTTTCCTAAAAATGATGATTCATGCAATTGACAAAACCATTTTTCAATCAATTTTGATTTTCCATAAGAGATCCAAAAATCTAAATAATTGAAAAAAAAGAGATGTAAAATAATTTTTCTCTCCTGCAAAAAATAAGAGAAGAGGAGATCTAACTTACCCATAAATTTTCTATCTCTTCCCTTCCTATCAAATCTTCTTGGAGTGAAGCCATTCCTTCCCAATGACCATTTTTTTGTTTGTGTTTTGTTTCTTTCTTTTGCAGATACT